TTCACTTTTGTAATAAGAACTATAATTTTGAAAACCAGGCTTTTCGGTAAACTGCTACCATATGAATGGAAAAACTACGAAATGAATAACTTAAATACCGTATATTTTGATTTTATTAACAAGAGTTATAAGGTTTCTTTACCAAAAATGTCATTACCATACATTACGGTAATTATTAATTTTTGTTTTTTGAAGTTTATGTTTCCTAATAATTATTGTCAAAATTTGCATTTTTAAGTTAGTTCAGCATTAAATCTTTAATCGTAATTTAATTTGGCTACTAATTTGAGATCATTAAATAACTATCATTAAAACTAATCATTAAATAACTATAAAACAACTAATTTTGGGTCTATTTTAATGCAATTTTCGACAATAATTTTAAAAATTACGATAAAATTTTGATAATTTAGATTAAAAAAAAGTACTAATGCAAACTTTTAAAGGCTCTAGGAAACATCAATTACTATTAGATAAAGTGATTCAGAAAACATATTATTCGTACTACACTCGTCTTTTTATATACATTTAGTTATAGTGGTCGGTTGAGTCATATTATGGTAAAGATCACACAAAATATTACTACAATCTGAATTCAACCATCAAAATAAATAATTATCTACCATTAAGATAAATAATTATCGACCATTGTCCTTTAAGATTACTATCTTCTAATGTTAAGAAAAAGCAAAAAAATCTGCATTCAGTTTTTTTAAAATTTAGTAAATTTGCATTTTTCAAAAAGTCCTTATTTTTCCTCTGAGTGTAATGAAACTTACAAAGATGTCTGGTAAAAACTATTTTTTCAAAAAACCCTTTTATATCCAGAATTGACTTGTACATAATGCAACTTGTTTCAGAATGCAACATTTTGAAACCAATTGTTGAAAAAAATTCAGTAAAGATTATTTAGTTCATAAAACAAGCTCGAAGTTAAAATAAAAATTATTGAGCAAAATGAAATGAATTAATGAACATAAAAATTAATATTAGAATAAATAAACTATAAGAAACGTCGATTTATGGTTTTACTTCCTGATGGGGATACACGTAGGACTTTTTTGAACTGAAAAAATAGTTATAAATTTGAACTCTTTATAAAAGATTTTATTGTAGAATAACATCTTCTTTTTAAATATTTCTAGAAATTCTGATTTTCAAACCACATATTTATTATATCGAAAGATATATTTGTACTCAAAGCATAGTTTTACGAAGGGTTTTTTTTAAATATATTTTGTTTATATTATTTGCACATAAGAATTTTAATTGATAAAAAAATTCATTTTTTAATTTTGATTCCTCAAAAGGGAATCATAAAATGCATTCATTAGTTTTCAAGTGTAAAGAAATATTATTTTCCTCGTCAAAATTATGAATGCAAAGAAATTCATATTAGTAGAAAGATAAAAAACTTCCTTTTTTTTAAAGATTTTTTGTTAAAAAAAGAAATACGTCCATTTTAATCAGCTAAAATTTCCCCTGAGAGCCGTAACATTATCTCACCTGAAAAAATTTAAAAAGCGTAAATTGAATCTCATAACTGTCCCAAAGAGAATACATTTAAATTTTTTAGCACGGTTTAAAATATATTTTTTAAATTAACAATAATAACTTATTTTCGCAACACTTGCTTTTATAAAAATTTTATAAAGCATCCTTATGCCAAAAAGTAATTTTAATTTTATAACTAAAACAATATTTTTATTTGCTGTATTTATAGTTACAGACCGAAATTATTTTTAAATTGTATGGTGGTACAGCATCAAATGGTAGAAAACACTGCTAAGAATTTATTTATTTATACAAACTATGATTTGATTTGATTTTATAACCGGCATTGAGCAGCCAAATCCAAATCAAAGTTAATGACTATCAATGTTCAACCCCGTAGTTTTGTAATTTTGAACCTAATCCCGAAAACAAGGAAACTCCTGAATCAAACATTTGGCAAACTGCACTTTGAGGAGGACTTTTTTGATGGAACAAATCCGCATTTGCGTTACATGGAGAAGAAAACCATGAAACCTGCTACGGTTAGCCCAACGGTAAGGAGATTCTAACCTATGATCCATTTACTGAGGACATTTTGTGTAATTATTATGGTGGGTGCGAGTCGCGACCAGAATTCGTATCAACCAGCCAACGATGGGATTCGTATCTGTGTCACCTCATTGTGAGGCGAGCTCTTTATCCCCTAAACTAGTGCTCCCCACCCTTTTTATAGCCACGGACCGGTCAAAGTTTGATAATTTCACCTCGGTTCGCTGAGGAGAGGAGGAGAAGATGTTGATTTTTTATATATTAGATGGTTTTTATTCAATTAAACATACCTTCAAAGCAAAATACAGTCTCATGCCTGGTATAGATGCGGCTTTAGATGTCGGATCTTAATTTTAAGTTAATATCAGATTAAGTTTCATATCAGGTCTCAGAGTTAACCTCTCGCCCATAGAAAGTCGTACTAACCCGAGAGAAATACACCACAGTAAATAAAATGGAAATAATTTAATGTTCTTTGGGTGGCCCGGTACCATTTGAGTCACGGACCGATACCGGTCTGCGGCCCTGGCGTTGGGGACCACTGCCCCAAATGACCACGGTTCATAACTAATGATTGTCATAATATCTGTGAGGGTTAAAGGTTAAAAAAAAACTAAAATGCTCGGTTTTGAACGATGCTTTTCCTTCTAAAGAAATAATTTACGGCACTTAAGATAATAGGGCCAGAAATATTTTATAAACCTTAATCAAGTATGTTGTTTGAATTAAGTTAGTAAGAGGTTTGTTGTCGTTTATCGATCTCACTCTTAGACATTTGTATTTCATGAAGTGGAGAGATGTTTCATCAATTAAATTTTTACTTACAAAATGGAAATTTCATTCCAGAAAGTAATACTTAGGAAATGATACCTTAGGGCCATAGCAATTTCCTATGATGCTTACTTATTCTCTCGAATCAGAAAGTAATTAAACAAACATTTTTAATATTGTGGAATTAGATCAAACTAATCAAAAGATTTGATTAATTTGAACTAATAGATAAGATAGCCAACGGAAAATATTACAAAATATTTGTGTTTCAGTTGCATTTATAAAAAAAAAATTCCAAAGAAAATTTTGTTGAAAAGTACATTTCCCAGTACTTTTTACGGTAAAATTTTAGGCCATTATTTTTACGGTAATATGTACTGAATTACAGTGGTTTAGTATATACTACTGTAAAAATTCTGGTACATCAAATGTTTTTGTTCCTTAAAATTTTACGGTAAAAAAGGATTTTACAGGAAAAAGTACTGGCACCCTGAGAAGCAGTGCATTTTGCCTAAATTTTTCAGGAATTGTTTTACAATGTATCGGGAGATTAAAATTCAAAGATTGGCAAAAAAAATGAATTTAATGGAAAAAAACATAGTTATGTGTTGAAATGTAGCTACTGTAGGAAAAAAATTAAGTTTTGCTTGGAATGAATTTCAACAACCGTTTCCGTTACCGGACCTCCAGCAAAGCAATCTTAACTTAAAAATTAAAAATGCTTGTATTGTCATGTTTCCATACTATTTGAGGCTCTTCTACTTCTTTTCGACATTTTTTACATGTGTTCTTAAGATATTTTTTCAATTTATTCAATAATTTGTTCTTTAATGACTTGTTCTTGCTCTTAAATGTCTTATTCTTTAGAATTTTTATGCTAAAACCACAATTTTTTAACGAACTCACTTAATATATTTTCATAAAACGTTACAATGACATTTATAGAAGCTACCCACTTTTGACTTTTTTATAAGCAAAATTTTGTGTTGGCTACAAATCTACTAAATGGTTGATCCTTATTATCTTGATATTATAGAGCATAGCTTAAAAACCATTTATTCGGTTAAAACTACTTTTCATTTTTGTATTTTTACTAAATGTTTGGTAATAAGAACTGCATTGTGAAAACCAGAATTTCCGATAAACCGCTACCTTACAAACGGAAAAAAATATCCAATTAATAGTTTAAACACCGTATATTTTGTGGTTTTATTACCAGAATTATGTGGGAGTTTTTTTTCCAGAAATGTCATTAACATACAAGTATGGTAATTTTACCAGAATTTTTTTTTTCGCTGTCTGAATTTATCTTTCGTTGTTAGTTTTATCGCGTGTTTAACTAGAATATTGTTTAAATTTGCTTGAACATTAAAACGGTGCCGAGTTGCATTATATTATCATTCAAATTATTCTTTAAGGTTGAATGTACGCTTAAATGTTTATGGTTGTTTTGAATTAAAGCATTGTTTAATTTAACTCTTTATGAAGATTGCATTCATTTTTTAACGGTATCATATTTTGTTCCGATACTATGGTTTCTTGTTGAACTTGGTTTTCAGATAGTGTAAACTATTTAATTAATTTATTCTAAACAGAGCTCGTTCATGATTGTAATACTACATGAAATTGTAAACCAAAATAGCTTTCATTCTTACAATTATTTGCAGCAATTATTATCTACTGAAATGTATCACTTATTTAGTAGTAATATGCCGTTGCGATCAGATATCTGACGTCGCGAGTAGAAACATAGAAATTTATCGCAAGATATCAACCTTAAAATTACAATATGTATTCAAAATAATATTAAATTTAATTCAATAAAATTTTGAAAGAAATTTCTCTCCAGATATCAATTTACAATTACAATATGTATTTAAAAAAGTAGTAAATTTAATTCATTAAATTTTTAAAGAAATTCCTCGCCAAATATCAACCTTAAAATTGCAATATGTATTTAAAACAGCATAAAGCGTGTTTTATATTTTTATTTACCCTATATCAATCTTAAAAATGATTGATCTTCCATTATTGCTAGTTAATGGCCTTCAAATAATGTTGATACAAATTACTACCGTGTTTTTCCATTTTACTCTGACTCAATAAAGATACTCCTATCAATAACTCCCATCAACTTCAAAAACTACTCTCTTTTGAGTAATTTTGAAGAAGCAGCATGCCATGGTAACAATCTACTAGTTACGTCACTCCCACCTGTTGAAGTGGCTGAATCATCAAAGTGAAGGTTCTCCCTAGTGATATTAGAGATACTGATTTTTTCTTTTTATTATTATTATTTTCAATCAGATGAGAACAGGTGTAATACTTGGATTCAGTTGGATGGTCGCGAATGATTCTTTATTATGTGCTGTCGGCATGTTATGCGGAAAAGAATTCATTCCCAGTAATACGAGCTATTTTTGCGGTGATTGCATAGACTCGTCCGCTTGCTAAGAAGTTTCGTGCATACACGATTTCGAAATAACTTTCAATATCTATATTTTTTATTGATATAGTTTATAATAAATCCAAATTTTTATGATGTTTCATTTTAAAAATTTAAAGGCTTAAAATATGTTCAATATTATATTTTAAAGAAATAAATCATAAATATTTTATGAAAAATAACCTGGTATCATTTATATATTGGATAACAATATTGTGTATGGCTTTCTACTGTACACCTATGGATAAGCATTAAAGGAATTGTTTTCGATAACTATCTTCGAGTGCTTCATAATTATTCCTTTTAGTCAAACTTAATGATAAAATAAATCAAATGTGTTTCACGACAAATTACAACACAGAGGAAGAAGGAAAGGATATCTTAAACATCCTCATTCTATAAATTTCCAACAAGTTACATTCACTTGGAATATAAGAGTAATTGAAAAGTATCAAACCAATTAAAGGTTGGATCTCAACAAAATGCTTTCGGTTGTTCGGTGAAATGCTCAAGAAGGTGCTTTTTGAAAATCAAGCTTTTATACATATATCAAAACCAAGCTTTTGTGTATATCATAACGTTTTCTGTGAAATGATTGAGTGACGAGATGACTATGTCAAAGCGTCGTTCTCGTTCAGATGACAAATCAGTAATTCAACAAACGATGAGTGGACCTTTAACAACAGTAACGCCTGTGTTTGAATCAAAAAAGTTTGAAGGAAGTGTTCTCCATAAAGGTAAGAAAGCGTTAGAAATTTTGATTGTTATATTTATCCAGACCTTCCAAACCGGAAGTTCTAACTTTCTACATTATTTAAAGAGGTATAAATAATAATTAAATATGCAGACGTCCTTGCTGACAATATAACTTGATCTGACAATATAAAGTAAGCAAAGGTTCTTACTGACAATATTACTTGTTCTGCAATATTAAGTAAGTAAGCGTTTTTATTGACAATATTACTTATTCTCACAATATTATGTAAGCAAAGATTCTTACCAAAGATACTAATTATTCTGACAATATTTAAAAAGAAAAGGTTCTTACCGACAATATTAAGTAAGCAATATTTCTTACTGACAATATTACTTGTTCTGACAATACTGAGAACTAAATACTCGTACTGACAATATTACTTGCTTTTTAGATACTTTATATGTATTTTTCAATTATTTATATATTATAGTAGTGATCATATCTTCTATGATCAAATATTAAAACAGATATTCTGCTACCAGTTTAAATATTTGAGAAAAATCTCCGGTTAACAGCCGGAAAAGTTGCCTGGTTTGATTAAACTTTTTCATATCCAAAACTTTATTGATTGTTCCAGCAATCCGAAAATCACAAAATAAAATGTTTACTGAAAATGAACGATAATTTATTTTCATTTAGTTCGGAAATTCATTTAAACAACAATGATTTAGCCAGTAAATTTTTATAGGCTTGGTTTTTTTTTCAGTGTATATAATTTACAAGGGATAAACAAAATTAGTAATGTATAGAATTTAATAATACGTATTGAATTATGCACATTTTATTTTTAAAAAACAATCTTTAGAATCTGAATTTATTTACTTGTTTTTCTTATTCACAGTATCTTTATTTATTAATCCGGTATAATATTGTTCCGTATTAAAACTTTAAACTTATTTAGCATCGTTCAGCAAGTTTCAAGAAAAGTATACAAATGCATAAAAAAATTTTTAAATTTTAAATAATTTCAAAATAAAATGCATGCAAAATTTTTAATAAAACGATTTCAAATTAAAATATTATGCGGATTAAAAAGTAATGAGGTACAGCCAAATTTTTAAAGTGGAGCTAATTTTTGAAAGATAAAGAAAGTTTTCAAGTGGAATTTTTATATACTTTTAAAAATAATGAGATAAAGCAGAATTTTCACTTGCATTTGAAGTGAAAGTGATTTCAGTTTTTCCTTAGTATCAACGCTGAAACTAAATCAAGCAATATTTTTTTTAAATAATTGATAGTGTTCTGCTGGTAATGTACTTTTAATTGCTTATTATTTCTTTTTTTACTCGCTATTTTCAATATATTGACACTTTCTAAGAACAAAATATTTAAAAAAATAAGTAGGTAAATAATACCGGCAATTCTGAATAAAAGGGACGTTATCAGCATTTAAGTTTAACCTAAAAGTCTTTTTCAGTAAAACATTTTTCTTTCTTTTTTCAAATGAAACTTTCAATAAAAGGATGGGTAGGACATGCCTTTGAATATTTAGAGTTCTTTCCACTTGAAATAATGATTGGTATGTAAGGAAATCAGAAGGAATAATAAATGAATGATATTCAAGAGGGAAAATTTGAAAGATATAACAATCATCCATTACTGATCTAGAATCATACGCACATGCTTCTTATTTGGTGTTGAAAAAGATGTTTTATTAGAAAAATGCATAATTTTGCTCAATAAAACGCATGCAAATAACTCTTTGTCATTTCTTCCTATTACTTTGAAAAATTATGCATGCATTTTAGTTCTTAAAAACATGATCCGAGCCTGGGAAAGACGTCGATATTTACTGATTTTAAGAATTAATATTCAATACTCAGCAATAAATTGAAATTTTTGTATTTTTTTTATATATTTAATTTAAGAATTCCGATTCTCTGAGGCTTTTTGTAGAAATAAAATTGAAGGAATTAATTATATCCGTTAAAAAATTCTCTATTCATCCTTACTCAGCGAGTGTCCTTAGGAAGCAACAATAACCAAAATACTTATATTAACACCGAAATCGAAATTGAGTAGTAACATCTTTACTTCCCTATTTATTGATTTTAAGAATTAACATTTAAATATTCAGCAGTAAATTAATATTTTTATGATTGCTAAAATTTTTGATTTCAGATTTTGCCTCCCTAAGTTGTAGAAATGAAATTGAAAGAGTTTATTATGTTTGTTAAAAATTCCCTATTTATCGTTCCTGTACGAATTTCCTTAAGAACCAACTATAACCTAAATACTTATATTATGCCAAAATCAAAATTAAAGAACGATTTAATTTTTAAAAAATTTGTCGATGATTTTTTTTTCTTTTTCCTCTAAGAAAATAAGAATCCTTTCCTTTCAATTGAATGTTTATTTATATATTTCTAAGGTTTAGTTTCTGATATAAGTTATTAATTTTATTAACAGTTCTATTTTATTAATAGTGCTATTTTACTTTATGATAGAATAGTAGTTATTTATATCTTAGTTATTATACTAATAAATTAATGTTTCTACATTAAGACATCCCGAATTAGACTTAGATTCCCGAAAATAAGTGTCTCTAATCCGATGATTTTGTTTCACACGTCCTTGTCCTATATATATGTTAAGACCATTTACATTTTAAAATATCTGTATGTAATCACAAAATGTATATGTATATGGGAAATATTCCGAAGCGAAAATAAATCTGTAAAAAATGAGCTCATTAAATTAAGCAATATTATTTATCTTTTCTGAAGTTTTATTTAAAAATAAATGTTCGAAATTATTTAATTTATATTTTTTAATTAAGCTTTTAATTATAAGTAATTTCGTGTGTCATGTAAACTTTAGAAAACCATAAATCCTTCTTAATGCGGAAAATCTCAGTACAGGAAAATTGTTTTGTAAAAAATGTGCTGTGAGAAATCCAACATCTATGAAAAATCTGATTAAACATATTGCTCTTACTCTACACCAGTAAAATAAGCTATTTTATGTACTACAGATATTATTAAAATAAAAGAAAAATAAACTTTTCTAAACATAAGTTAAAAGAATTTGCATTATTCATACTAACAACAAAAATAATTCATGCGGATAGTGAATGCTTGACAGATTTTATCTAAATATTTAATGTTAGCCTGCTTAAAAAATGAAAAAACTTTTCATCCATTTGCATATAAATATTTTCAAGTAACATCCATGAAGTTATTTTATATCATCTGTAGTTTCAATGAAAAATAAGTAATGTTATTCCAGCAAATGCAACTTCCTAACTAAATTTTTCTCTAAAATCACATCTTTCTCTATTCCGAAAAATTCTTCATAACTGAGTCGTGCTATCCTATTTCATATTTTTTTGTGCTGAATAATCTCATTTTATATATATGGCAGAAAAATAAACAGTCTTGCATTACAAATTTTTTAAATTGCACCAAATCACATAAAAATTCAGCAGTTAACAAGAATTATCTTTTATTGCTGTTACAGAGCGAAACTGAAAGCTTTATTTGAACCATTATTTCATTTAGATAAAATAATTAGCAATTATCCACTTAATGCTTAAAAAGATAAACAAAATAATAAATTTGTTGCCTTACTAAGTACATTTTTATGAATAAAACGGAATATTTTTACAGATATAGGTTTAAATTTAAACTTTAATATTTATGATAAAAAATAATTCTTGCCATCAAATCAAACCAATTTTTCTTGTTCATCGTTTAAACTTAATAAATTTTTTAAATTTTTTTATCTAGTTAATAGTTGCTAAATCATGTGTGCTATAACCTATTTATTGTTAACTATAATAGAAACATTTATAATGTGTCACTTTTAAGATATTTATAATATGACAAAATTCACCATGTTTCTGAGCAACCAGACTATAGTAAAATAGACATTCTTACAAACACACAATTTTAAAATGAGAAACTACATTTTTTTTATTTTGTATTCCCTCTCGGCTCTTTTAATTTCGCTTGTAATATGCTCATTCTTTAATAGTAATTGTGTGCACATATTTTACTATGTCTTACTCTTAATGTGTATTTTTCAAATTGTATTCTACAAAAAAATTTCATCTATATTCCAACCTATATAAGTATACTCTGGGGGGGGNGGGGGGGGGGGGAAGTATGATCAAAGCTACCATTATATGGTAAATTTTAGCGTGTTTCTGGTTCTATGGAAACACCAAAGAGCTCGGTAATTTTTACTGAAGAGCTCTGGTAATGATTTCGGCGAAATTATCAATAAAATATGATTTTATAATATGTAATAAAATTTGGTAAATGTAGTTAAATTCGGTTAGAGCATGGCATAAAAACCGGTTAAAATTACTTTTGAGTTATGCATTTTTACTAACTGTTTGATAATGAGAACTATAATTTTGAAGCCCAGAATTCCCTGTAAACTGTTACCATATGAGCAGAAAAAGCACCAAATGAATGATTTAAATACTAAGTTTGGTTTAGTTTTATTAACTAGAATTGTGTTTTTATATATATATATAATTGTGAAATATAATTACCATACAATACGATAATGTTTTAAATATTTTCAAGTGATATGAAGTAAAGAAAATTTCATATATTAAATAACATAACAAACTAATCTATTACAAAGATATTACTAGCAAAAATGCAAGAAGAGCTACCTGTAGACTTTTTGCCGTTTTTAGAAGTAGAGCTCGAATGTAACTTGAAACAATTTATATCTTAAAGACCAAACTACTACACTATTTTACCATTTTCCCGACATTTGAACCCTGGTATCCATAACACGACACCGTTGCATTTTGAATAGAAAATCCCCTACATTTTCATTATGCATATTTTCAGAATTACTTTTCCAATTATTTTCTCACCATCTATTAACATGCAATAAAAATAATTTATTTGCAAATAATGTCAAATGTTTCAAAGAAAATATTGCAAAATGCTTCATATATTTCCTAATACTTAATCACATATAATATAAATTATATAATCACAGAAATATTTTCGAAAT